CCTTTCGTTTCTTATATAGAGAGCTTTTTCTAAGATCTGTTCAATTAAGAAAACCTTTGTGGACCGGAGAACATCATCTAAAAAACATTAATTTTTAAGTTTGGCGTTTTTTTTTTTTTTTTTTTTCTTTTTTTTTTTTTTTGTTTTTTTTTTTTTTTTTTTTTTTTCTTGTTGTTTCACTATTTGAACCTTAAACCTAAAGTCTGGAGACGAAGCTTTCCCAGCAAAACGATTTGAAGACTGACAGAGCTGACCTGGAGGGGAACGACGGGCCGTCCCTGTGAGGAGTCTGCCACTTTTGGACACAGAGGACGATGCGACTGAGGTCGGGGTGGATGTGTCTGGAAGTTGTTCTGCAGAGGTGTCACCTGCTCTGGCATCTTCCATCTGCTGGAGAAGATCTTGTTGAGGTAACTGAAGCAGCTGAGGAGAAAATATAAAGTCATGTTTATTCACACGATCAGGAAACCATTTATGTGGGTTTTAAAAAGAAAACTGACTTTAAGAGCACGTACTTGGGGACCATGAAATGTAGATGGGGACTTCATACAGAGTCCATACAAGCCGCTGAGAACATGGAGGGGGTGGTGAGGCTGCCGTAGTAACGGTCAATACTGACTCATGTTTGTGCTCGGCAGGAAGGCTCCATCAGCGGAAATGGCTTGACTTTAGTAAATCCTGGCCTTGGGGAAGGGAACAGAGCAAGCCCGTGATGAGAATTACAAAGCCAACACAAAAAAGCAGGCAGGAATTAATTTCTATTGAGCGTCCTCTAACCATTGTAAGCCAACAGAGGGACAGTTTTTGTGATATTTTGCTGCCAAGATGACAATTGCTCTGCTAAACAACCTGCCCAAAAAAAAGGACACAAAATCAGGAGTATTTGTATGAAAATGCTTAAATATTAGAAAACAAATGTATATAACTGACATCAATGGAAAGAACCCAAGAACAGCAAGGCCGTTGGATCATCCAAGGCCACTGACAATTCGGATGATGGATTTCATGTTGACTATTTGGCATCTGGAAAAACAAATAAAAAGCAGAAACATTAAAGGAAGGCTCCACTGCAGGCAGCTGGTTGGGGACGGTGCAGACTGTCTACTGACCCTATACTGTACCGTCCATCGGGTATCTGCCGTCTGTCACCGTCGTGGCCTCCGAAGCCTGTTGGTGCGCCGCCCCCAGTGAAGTGCAGCTGCATGGTGTGGTAAACATCTGGAAGACCGCCGCCCGCCACCGACATGCCAATGCCAACCTGCAGCACGAACTGGGGGAGCACCAGAACATGTAGTCACAACACACACACGCAAAAAAGAGACACAAACTACACGCTGGTGAACAATATCCGTCCGCATATTCACCAGGGCCGTCGGTTGTAGAGCGCTCAGTGGGGCCTTTTGCGATCTCATCAAAGCCTCCAGATGTAAGTCCCAGAGCTCATTTCTGGTCATCTGGTGGTCCAGATTTTATGGGGGAGTGGTGCTCTTCGCAGTAAAGGGTGAACATGACGGGAACATGTCTCCCCAGCGTAAGTATCTGAGGATGGGCGAAGGAACCACATAAGAACCAACAGGGAGATATCTACATTAGTGGTACTCAACCTTGGGTCAGGACCCCTCTTGGGGTTTCAAGATAAAACCTCAAAATGGCTTGAGAGGAAGAAAATATGAGGTCGAATCCTTTGCTTCATCATTCACATGACCTTCCCAGTTATCGAAGCACAGACTTTAAGACTTCAAGTCATGTGGCTTAAAAAAAGTTGGGAGAGTGAAAGCTCATTCTGAGCTTGGAAGCTGACAAGGTCCATTTAGCTAAGCTGGTTCAAAGCTCTCGATCACGCCATCTTCACGCTTGCCCAGCTGTGTTGAAATTGGTGCAGTAGATGCTCACATACTGAGGCAGGTGGCACGATGCGATCAAAGCTCCAGAACTTGCGACTGAAATGGGCCTTGTGTTGATTATGTTTCGTGTTAAAAAATAAATATAGAAATGTTATTTATCTCAATTTCTTTCTTAATTTCCTTTAATTTAAAACAAATGACACGATCTAAGAGGTTAGAGGAGAACATTTGGCTCACGACTCAAAGACATATTCAACCTTGCAAGGACGACGCTGCACCAACCAAAACAGTACATAGTTTAAAATTAACCATAGGAACAACTTTAATTTATAAATCTGGATCAATTCCAGTTGAATAATGCCCAATGGCAGGTAATTATTCACGGACGGATGGGAACATAACTGGACTGCTTAATATTTATGATTTATGTACATGAGATACTCACATTTTAAATGAGAAAATTAATGCAAGTTGCTGCAGTGTGACAAGGATTAAAAAAATCAAAAGGTTACTTACCACAATGATGGGGCTCAATTGTAACAGCTAGTCTACTTGGGAATATAAAAATAGCAAAATGTTGACAAATATCAATTTTCCTTCACTCCTTAACATATCAGCAACAAAAAACAAAAAACAAACATAAATATCGTATTTTGTGATCGGAGTCTCAAGCAGCCGACCCTCACCTGAATCAACATAGCAAACAACAGCATCAGGAGAACAGCATCCAAATCATTGCTAGGATCCCGCAGCATCGGTGAATCCAGACACGTGTCAGAATCTGAGGTAGACTGAAGATCAGCGCTGACGTCCTGCCTTAAGTAGGAACCGAGGTGAAGCTGAGTTTTATTTATTCTCCTGGTCTGATAAGTGAACCGATGTCACTACCAGTCTAGTGGGGTCTTTTCTGATCAACAGGCTCATTGATGCAGGACAGCTTCACCCCCCCCCCCTCCAACCCCACCACCACCTCCCTCACCCTCCCTTCTTCCTCCTCCTCCTCACCTCCTCCTCTCTGCTGCTGCTGCCAGCATAGATGCACAGTGACCAGTAACAAGACCCATTCATCTCATGGGAAAGTCAGAGGATGTGTAGCACGCTGAATTACAAGGGAACAGAATATATAAGGCTTCATATAAGGAGGCTGTAAAAAGATAATGCAGCACCACCTTAAAACTTAGTTCAAAAAAAGATAGTTTGAAAGGAATCTGGAAACATAACATTCAATCTCTGAAACTCTTTATTTTAAATGTAAAAGTACTGCATCTGTGCAGCTTATTTTAATGGTTATAATCAGAGAAAAATCTAAATATATATTAAAATTTGATGCTTTCATTGAATGTTTTGCACCTGAAATAAAGGTTAAAAAAATAAATGTGATATTAAACTAATTATGCAGCACATAAAAGTGTGATTACTAGTTAATATCCTCAACATGACAGATTAAATCTCTCCTTTACTCTCAGGCACGAATGTAATGAGTTTTTGAGAGATGTTACAATCTCATAAATTTAACCTCATCGTCTCGACCGAGCAGCTCGCCGTTAAAAGTGTTACGTCTCTCCCATCCAGGAATAGATCATGCGATTCTGTCACTACTCGGCCCGTGGGAACAAAGCCTCTTTTCTTCAGTGACAGCGCTTTCCAGCAGGGTATCACTATCTCTGCTCTGCCCGCTGCCTTATGAGTCACTGCGAGGTGCGCTATATCCACTTTCTTTAAATAATTTGAATCTTTTCATTGCCGTGGATCGGCTTTATCCGACAACCTCCATCTGACTCTGCTGGGGGATTTCCCCCGCCGCAGCATCACCACCTTAATCCTCTTTGACATTTGGTCACTGCTGGTGGAGGGATTTCCTCGACAAGTCAAGGGACTCACAGAGCAGCTAAATGTCGTGACTGATGGAGGTTCAACATGATGCTGTGTTCATACCCACTGACGCATGAGTCGTCCTTCATGGTGCAATTTATTTGGCATTTGATTAGATGTACATCTACCTCAAAAAGAAACACAAGCCCCCCCCAGCCCCCCTGCAAATGAAGCATTTTCTTTTCAAATTTAAAGGCTATGAAATAAAAGACAATGAAATGAAGCATCTGTTGTGTTATACATAAAATATTTCAAATCCAGTAAAATTAGTTGTCACACCACCAGAGCCTAGCACAGAAACTACAGTGTAAATGCAGCTGTTGGGGGTCATGGGTAGGTTTTTCTTTATGCATATGGAGATATTGAACTATACGCAGTCCTAGTTGAACCTACTGTACAGGACAGACTGTTGAGCTGAAATGTTTCCATCAAATATAAAAATCTCTCAGCATGCCATAATATTTAAAAAACAAAACAACAACATGCACTTCAGGTCCAAAAAGCAGATTGAAAAATAAAACCAAACAAACTTGAAATTAAAAAAATAAAATAAAAATAATAAAATAGAACACCATCTCCTACACACACACACACACACACACACGCACACGTTTCTTTTTTCCACAATTTTGTTGGACAGACGACTGTTTTTTGTGGCTTTGACAATTCAAACAAAAAAAAAAGATAAGAAAAACGGTAAAATAAGCTTCAGCACAGACAATAAATGTATTACACATTCAGTACATTCAAACATGAGACCCTCGGACGTGCACGGTCATTCGGACACACATGTACGGCTGGTTTTCTTGAGGCAGATCAAAAGCGCTTTGAATGCTGGTGGCTGCGGGTCGACTCTGATCCAACTCCTTCAGACGTTGTAAAAATTCATCCTTGAGAGAATCAAACGATTGTCATCATAACAGGGGTCTAAACAAGTTTACACTTTTCTTTTATTACAACTTTTTTTGTTTTTTACCGCGATCCCACTGAGAAAAAACAGAAACAGACCCATCAACACTCACAGCTACAGTCAGTGACGTAATCTTCATCAGTAGCTGAAAACAACCTCGATAACTCAGATAACAGATGTATCGTGTGAAGAATCACACATACAGAGAACACATCGGGAATGGAGGGGCAGCATCCAAATGTGACAACTGACAGATTCCTTTCCAAAAAAAACAACAACAACAACAAAAAGAAAAACCTGATTTAAATCGAGAGATGAACGTGCAAAACATTGAGCTTTGAGTCACTAATCATGGTTCAGTTAGCAAATACACAACTATACTGCGAAAAAAGTCGATGATGAAGTAACAACAATGGGACCGTCTGCATCATTAAACAACTTCATGATTGGAACAGTTATTTTTAAATAAATTGATTTTCCTCAAATTAAATGACGGGACATCATCCCTAATGTTCACACATGCACTTGAAGAGCTTCATCGCTTTCGCTCGCTGATCAGTGGGGAGTTCAGACTGCGTCTATCCCACAGTGAAACAATCAAGAGTACAGCCTGCAGTCATAAATTATCATCAAAAAAAGAACACAATACCAAAACTCAGATATTAATCAGTACCACAACATTCCTCGATACATAATGCCTTATGTCAGCATTACCCTATTAAAAACCCTATAGCAGGAAACTAACCGTACCTTCTGCAAGGTTAAACCTCTTGATTACAAAACGTTTTCTGCAAATATGCTCTATAAACCTGGAAGACAGCTTCATGTATCAGAATAATAAGAAAGTCAGGGGACAGTAAATTTTCATGAGCGAGTAGAAATCGGGATCAGGGACATGCTGCGACAGACGAGGCTGATGAGAACGGTTTTTTTTTTTAGGCTGGAGAGCAACAGATGAATACAGACACGTGTGTCTGAACGACAGCATGATGCGAACAAAAATGCACGAGGAACAATAGCTGGCTGCGCCGTCCGCCTGTCGTTCTTCGCCTTGTGCTGGACTGTGACACGCGAGTATATCAAACTTTAACCAGCACGGACCTGAGGGGGGGGGGGTATTCTACATCAGACTTTTAAACCAATCAGGCCAACTCTGAGATGTTTCAAAAGCTTGGCTCACTATGCTAGTGCAGCCGTCTCAGCCTCAATGCAGTGGTGGGGGGGGGGGGGGGTTCTCAGTCCTCTCTCGCACCCTCAATCCAGTGTCTTAAAAAAACAAACAAACAAAAAAACTCAGAAGGCCAACTGCAGAGGAGTCTTCAGAAAGAGGAGATCCAGGCTGCCTCTGAAATGTCTGTACAAGCGTTAACTCTCCTCGCTGCACTCCGCACTGTGAGACAACAGACTGCTGCGTCCTCTCCCGGTGCACTCACGACCTTCCTCAACCAGCAGGTAACGTCCGGATGCAGCTCCCCGCCGTCCGTCCACAGTCCTATACTACGGTGCTGAGGGAAGAGACGCAGTCTGCGGGCACGGAGGCGGGGGCGTGGCCATCTGTCGGGGTGTCGGGCCCCACCAGGAGGGTGCTGCTATCTATGGAGTCCTCCCTCTCCTGAGAGGACGGTGCCGAGTCTGGCACGGGGCCAGGGGCGTTGGGAATGTCGGCTTGGAGCCCGTCTCCCATGACGTTCATCTGGCTCGGCACCATGGGAACCCCGCGGTGTCCTGAAGGTAAGAACAAAAAGAGGAAATGAAGACGAGAGCTTAACAGCCTGTACGTGATGAGACACATTAATAAAAAAAGGATGAGTGCCTACCGAGGTCCACGTAGAGGAGGCTGTCGGGGTTGATGGAGGCCTCGTATGGAGGAGGGGGGTCGTCAGGGTGCTGGATGTCGGGGTATTTGTAGGCTGCGTACGGCGGAGGAGGCTCTTGGAAATGGAAAGCGCCTCCCTCTCCGTCGTCAGACAGATGCAGAGGAGTGAGGCCGGTGCCAAAGGCATCCGGGCCGTAGTCGAAGCCCGGGACTCTTCTTCCAAGGTTAAAGTGGTGCACTGAGCAAATGTGAGAGCAGACAAACAGCACTTTACAACACATCCACGAGATCAGCATTTAGATCAGCATTTTAAGAGAAACCTTCATTCAAATGAGCTATTTAAACAATTAGCACATAAAAAGGAGAAGGTGGTATGTGACTATGGCTACATTCACACTGCAGGCACAACTTTCATTATGTGATATGTGACAGGGCCGTAACTCGTTCACACTGGAATCTGATATGGGCCACATTTAAAAAGTAATACCAAAAGCCAAACAACAAAAATAATCAGATCTGAGCGCTGAGACTTGTAGAGTGAACGTAGATGAAATGTTTCTAGAAATGTTTCTACAGAGAGAGATATTCTTGAGCCTGAAAAAAGAGCAATGACTGTTTACAAAAGAGCAGTGAGTGTTTAACGCCATTAAATCTTTTAAGAACTTATTTGAGAAATATAAATTCTGAACTAAAGCGTTGTGTATCGCAGCACTTAATTAATATAAAATAAAGATTTGTGTGCTGCAGTTGATTTAAATCCTCAACTTACATAACCAAATTATTATATTTTAAAAGAGTGGTGTGTGTGTGTGTGTGTGTGTGTGTCCAACAGGCTTAATACTCACAGTTTCCTCCAATCAAAGTTTCGATGCGTTCACGTCTCCGCTGACGGAGTCTGTGCACCATGAAGAGCAGCAGGGAGAGGATGAGGAAGGACGAGATGCAGCTGACGATGAGCCTCATCCCGCTGGCCATCGAGTCAAACAGACTGTTTCCATCTGAGGAAAAATGACCATTGGTGTTAAATAATCTGCTAATTTAAAGCTCCTGATCTTGCCTAGCTATAAAAGGAATTCTGCACTGCTCCATGTATGAAGATTTAACAGAGTTAGAGTTATAGATATAGAGTTAAAATAGGCTTAATTTAATCCTGATATGTGTTTTTAACTCAATGTAACTAGTAAAGTAAATCCAGTACTGTAGATTAGTGAGGAGCTCCACCTTGTGGGACCATGAGCACCGTCATTTAACTTGAACCAGTGAGATGTGGCAGTACCTGGGTCCAGGCAGGTGAACTTGCAGCACTCTTTGGGATCCTTGCGGAAGTGCTGGCAGCCCTGCGGACGCTCACACAACGCGGCCACACACATCTCAGGCTCGCCGTCGTGACACGTGCAGCTCAGACACGGGTCGTCCCCCTTTGGGGTGAAGTAGTAGCCTTCGTTTACGACGTTGTCTTTTATATCCACGCACGTTTGCCCTGTCAGGAAAAATAGAACATCAGGAGACAGTCCACAATGAACATTAAATGACTGAACAAAGGTCATATTTCTGATGGAAAACATACTCCTCTTGCAGAGGAAGGGGAACTTCTTGTAGCAGTTCTCAGCGTGCCAGCTGTGCAGGCCTCGTTCATTCATGCTTTTGATCTGAAAGCGCTGCAGCTGGGCACAGAAGACGTTGTCCTGGGTGGAAGATGCTTCCCCAAAGTTGGTCAGACCCTCAGGTGGCAGAAACACCTGCATCGACCCTGTTGAGGACATTTTCAAGCATTACAACGATCAATTTACAGAACAGTAGTTAGCTCTATAGTGTTTTCTTAAGAGAACAACAACAAATACCTTTGTATGCTACCTCCCAGCGGCCCTCCAGGGAGTGGTTCTGATTGGTGATCACATACTGGTAGCCCACCCAAAACCTACAAACACACAAATAAAATTTAAATTACTTTATTAAATTAAATTCCTACAATGTTTAAATGTACCATGTTAAATGGTCTAGTTCAGGGTTAATGCATGAGCTAATATTGAGCACTTTAAATTGCCAACTTTGGCCACTAGATGGCCTGCAACCAATGACAGAGCACTATCACTCCCTCACCTCTGCTGGAACATTTGACATTTGTATATTTTATTTCATGACAACAAAACAACAAGAGCGAATGCCCTAAAGTTTAATGAGTTAGGAAAATACACTTCACAATCACAAATCACAGAGATTTCAAGCTCGTGTGTTCAGCCAATAAATAAAGGAGAAATAAAAAGTGTGAGTGATATCTGAAAAGTGTATCTTTGTAGTACAGCTTAGATTTGAAAACTATATTAAGTTAATCAGACCATGTTAACCAGTAAGAGATATAAAAAACATTCTGATTTAACAGTAATAATATCCAACAAGCGCATTGAAAACTCACTTGCACTGGTCTCTGCGCTCACACACTTTGTCATCAAAATCCACCTCGATCTTCAGTATGAACTGCAGCTCCTCGTTGGTAACAAAAGTGGCCAATGAGCCGTTGACTTTCTGACAAGTGTCCACAGCCTGCCAGTAGTTCTCGTTCCTCAGGTACACTTTGTAACAGCTGGCTGTCTTCTCGTAGTGGTGCCACCCACTGGGGCATTTCTCTGTGGGTGGAAAATAAACTTTTAGCACAGCGGTTGCTGAATGCCGGGTCATAAAGCAGATTCGACTGCTATATAATCCACTAAAATCAAGTGAGACGCTTACTGTTGAAGCGCACCGGCTGAGCCACACCGATGACGTCTTCTACCTGGTCGTAGCCGTTGCCGAAGCGAAACCTCTCCTCCTTTATAGCTGCGCAAACAAACAAAAGAGATTAACACGAATTGACAAGTGTGGACAAGTTTTGTCCTGACTGTATTTATAGAAACGCTCTCTGGATCTTGGTTTTCAGGTTTTCAGGGCACTTGTTGGGTTATGTTGTGCAACCTGTTAAAAGCCTGTGATGTAATGAACCTCTTTTTATTTGTCGGATAGCCTGATACATAAACCGATAAACATCAGCGCTGCCTGGTAATTCCACTCTCTGAATTATGTCTGTACGCAGATTATTCTCTTGTAAATGTCATTATACAGTTTTACAGTGATTCAAATCTAAAATCCATACGGCACAAACTAAACTTTCTTTTTGTCTGATATTTGATTGACATCAGGATGAATCTCCTGTGAAAATATTGTAACTAATCCTCCGTTTGAGGCAAGAAAATGTAACAAGGAAGGAGAGAAAGATACTACAGTCAACAGTGTGACCAGACATAAACTTTCACTAGTTTGTCTTAGTTTGCATTGAATACACAAAATCCAACAGGAAGAACAACTGCACAGAAAAGGGGAACATAGAGGACTTTATGACATTTCTTCAGTGAAATAAAAGAGGAAAAGAACCGAAGACAAACAGGCAAAAAACAGGAATTAAAAGTTATAAGAACAACAATACTGAGTTTCGTCTGCTATGAATAACTGTGGGAAAATCTCAGCTCCTCAAATTAACACAAACTTTAAATTCACTGTAGCCATTTCTGCTCTACATGGTCTGCTCCATCTCTACACTAAACTATTAATGTGATTGGTCCTTTTGCTCGCAACCTGCACAGCCTGCAATGCGTTTGTTGCCAGCTGGATATTTCACCATTTCCTCTTGAACCTGCGTTGAGGTTATGAGGTTGAACACTTGCCCCCGGTATTTGTCTAGCTGGAATTAGTGTGAGGGATTGCTCCACCTCGCCATGTTGTTCAACAAAGAGCTAATCCCGAAAAGGAACATTGATTTCCATGCGTGCTGTTGATTTAGCTGACATTAAGCCCTCGCTGGGGCATGTGTTAGCATTGTTAGAGTTTTTCTTGCATTTCTCTATGAAACCACAACTTCTTAGCACGCAGGGAACGAATATACACGTGATGTTAAGCTTACAAGCTTGTTCAATTAATAATAATCAGCAGCAGAGTTGACTCTTGGCAGAATGGGTTGGTGGTTAAATACCTTTTATTGGTGATTAAATGAAGAAAACAAGACTGACTTTCTACTTTCGGGGCTGTTGGTTAACAAACAATTCCTTCTTTTATTGCCTGTTCTATAAATGTGGTTTGAAATGTAAAACCTCAGTCAGTACGCAGTGTTGTTGGCAGACCTGCAGCGTTAACTCAAAAGCATGCACAACTACTGCTGTATGGAGGTCACATGCTGTGCTCAATCCTTTCAATAATTCCTATTATGCGGTCAGAGATCTGGGGATAAAGTCTCTCTGGGTTTAAGAGGGGAAAACAATAGGATTTCGGTCAAAGGCTTAGCACTGCAGCATCTATGCGGTGTTGAAGAGATCAACTAACATTAAACGAAAACAGAGACACATGTGCAGCTACTCAGAATTTAACTCTGCCTCCCTCTGCCATCTGATGCCGTCAGTCCAGAGCAGTCCTGTATTTTGACTCAACCGTGGTGGATTACAGACCTGCAGACTTAAAATCACGTCTGAGCTGTTTGGTAAAAGCAAATGAGCTGGATTGAACTGTGTTTGGAGGTTTTATTGGCTGACAACAACACACAGCACACAACAACCACACAACACACACACACACACACACCACACACCACACACACACACACACACACACACACACACGACTGTGTCTTCACTAGAGGCCACTTCTGTTTACATGTTAAACATCTCTGAATACTGCTTGATGAGAGCCCGGTGCCTCCTTAAAGCATTCTGGGTGTATTCACACCTGCATTCAGAGCTGTCCAGCTGTGATCCAATCGTCCGAGTGCAAAAAAGGTCCTGGGTGTTGCTATTCTTTCCAGAAATCAATCACGTTATGGGTGTTAGGTAACAGAGTGGGTGTAAAAGGGCTTAAGTGAGCTATACTCACGGGGACAGTCCATCTCGTCACTCTTGTCCTCGCATGCTGTCCAGCCGTCGCACTGCCAGGACATTGGGATACACTGCATCTTCCCACTGCGGCAGGCAAACTGCCCAGGGCTGCAGCGCTGCTCTGAAACACAACGAGAGAGTTTGTGCGGTCAAACCTGCACGTGACTAAGCCCTTCTTCCAAACAAGAGAAAACCATTTTAAGTCCAAGCAGAGGAATGAATGAGGTCACGTGAGCTTCTGTGAAAGTTGATAAAATAAGAGATCTTAGGCGGCGTTGAGGATTTGTTTAATACATAAACAGAGATTTGTACTGTTGTTCCTTACTGAGACAGCAGAACATTGGTACAACTTAGAAAAGGGCTGCTTGCAAAAGAGGAAATCCACAGTTGGTAACTGAATACGTTTAAATTCGTTCAGAGAAATTTAGAAATGTGTATCCACTAAAATCAGACCACTGAAAATAAAACAGCGCTTTTATATTCACGTCTTTAAGTAACAGTTCAGTTATGAGTAAAAGAGGTAGAAAGAGGCAAATACTTAACATCTATGGGCTTTTTGTCTGTTAATATCCTTTGGCAACACAGTCTGGGGTAAGTGGGTCTCCACATGTGATTAACAAAGAAGATGCCTCTGCATCAGAGCTGCCTGTGTCCCTCCTCACCAGATACAAGTCTAGATAAGATAAAAGTTACTGATCATGGGAGACCAATGGCCCCGCGCTTGTTTTTAAGAAGTTAGAATAACTAATAAACCAGAGCATCGACACAAAGTATGAATGTAAAAAGGTAAAAAACAATCGCATGTGTTTTCAGGCTTTACATGTTTTGACGGGAGGTTTTTTTTTTTTATTACCAAGGAGCTGCTGAGATATTCCAACAAAAAGATCAGACAGCCGCTACACTGAAAGATATACTGCTTGCTTACCTGACAATAATCTTGCCAGAGCTAGCCGCGGACCTGAAAAAAATAGAAACAATAGAGTGACTATCCCGTTGTCTTTGGACTTTTAAATTGCACTTGTGCCTGTGTTATATATATATAAAAAAAAAGAAGAAGCAGCACAATATCAATCCTGTTTGTGCTGCTAATTATATTGTCAATAAGGAAATCTATTATATCACACCGTCAACCATCCTCTGGCATTTGTCTGAGCTCAGTAGTGGGTTCATCACACCATCTGTTCCTGCATACAGGTGGTCATGGAGCTGGACCACCCACTCACTTCACAAATATGGCAACACTATTTTTACTTAGAAAAACAGCTCTGAGCTATTTCAAGTGGCTATTGTTTCCTGTGTGTACCGAACGCCCCAGGTGACATCAACCCACACAGACCAGACTTTCAGTTTGGATGATCCCAGAAACAGTGATTCAAAACCGGTATTTATTTGTGCTACTTTGTACTGACTGCTGCACAAATTAATGATCAAATTCAGACCTCCCACGAAGGACTGATTTCCTTATATTAAAGTTAAAAGTTTTCCCATTATGTCCAATCAGCAGCTTTACTTTCATAAACTCACCAATCGACCGCAGCGTCTCCTAGAGTTTAAACAACAGATTTTGATCAGACCTTCAAAAAAAATCAAAAACACGATGAAACGTATTCTCCGAACAGGAATCTCACATTACACCAGATGTAACCTTTTTATGTTCTGCTGCAACAAAGGTCACTGATCCTGCTTTGTCAGGTTGTACTGGCTTCATTTTGCACAACATCCTGCTCACTGTAGCTGCAAGAAGAAGTGGAACAAGGCTAATAGATGATTTTAAAAAAGGCTTTGTAACCTTGTCTCTGCTGCTAAACAATATAGACCACTTCAGTAATGCTGTCAGCTTCCTGTTGAAATAAAACAAGGTGGTTGTTGAAGGTCTTAACCAGGAGGAGGCAACCAGCGGCTCCGCATAAATGATATAAAGAGATTATATAGAGACTTCTTGTAGGCCTGAAGCGATTATTAAACTCTCCATATTGTAAAAATGTGCAGCCATAACACAGAGAAATCATTTTGTCAACTAAAATGTTTATTTACGTCCTGACCAAGCACCTCGCGCTCTGTATTTTACCTCGATATCGGCGGAGGGTCTCCCGACCTCCCTGAACAGCTCTGGATTCATAATCAAAATAAAATTTAAAAGTCTGGGAAGAAAACAGAGAATTTGACACTGCGTGGCCACATTTGTTTGCTTTCACCACCCACGCTGATGACTTATTGGTATGCTTGATCTGTGGTGAGAAGCTTGTTTTCTTAAAGCCTCAGAGCTCTGATCTGAACCTTTTCCTCATCGGACTACATTCAAACGGTGGGACGCTCCAGCAGAACCATCAGTTTATAGAAGCTGACGCTACACGAGTCTGTGCCGTTAACTATAGACGAGCAGAAACACTTAAAAAGGTCTCGGCTGAAAGAAGTCCTCCCATCCTTTAAAAGCGGATCTCAACGCGGATCGTCTTCACTCTGTCAAAAGGTGTTTTAAAATCCCTCCAGCACAGCCGACGTCAACTCGTCTTAGTTTAAATGCTAAGTGGATTGAGACGCATTACAGACCGGCCTCTGTCTCCCGGGACTGAATGCATTATCATTGATCGCACCGAGCCTGAACATGTGTCAGATTGATGGATAACACTCCCAGATACATTAGAAAGGATTTCTGATGTTAATAATTAATGCATATATTTATACAGATAGTGTAGAGCTTATCAAAGATGATACATCAGTGTTGGTTGTGCCCTGCGAGATGTTGTAATTATGTAAAATAATGATATCTATCACGTTCAACTCACTACTCTCCGTTTGCCAATCTCATAAAGGCGATAACACTTTGTGTGATGAGCTTTCAACGCCTTCACCAGAGGGAGATGTACACGGCTGCCAGGTGATGTAACAAATCTACAACCTAAATCCAGCCGGTGAGAGTTTCTTTAGAAAGAAGAAGCCGACTCTTTTAAACTCTACCTGCATGTGTTCAGGACCAGGAAACAACACAGGCCTGGTTTCTGCCCGCACACATCAGTAGCATCAGTGGAGGAGTCTCAAGAGCTGAATTTATTCTGATAGCAGCAGCCGACCACTTTAAGTTATCAGATATTACATATTGAAAGCACAGGCTGGGTATCTCCGGGTTTAAAAGAGCTGGTGATTAGCATGTAGTATCTGAATCAGCTGTGGTTACCGGCTGCCTGTTCCCTCCCTGTCACACAGAGATATATTTTACTGCACACATTAGGTCTTCTGTTTTGAGACAAGCTAGAAGAAGACGATGGCTCGTAATTAAGCACAACATGCCTGATGCACACTGCGCTGTATCTGCGTTAATGACTGTCCCCTGGTGAAATGCCACGGGGCCAGGCAGGATAAAACCCTCTCTTATTGAGCCTATTTCTCTCACAAGCTTTGGATTTTGTGATGCCAAGTTGACAAACGAGTGAGCGCTGGCTACCCGGAGAAAAGCGAGCCTCTGCGTCTCTTACATAACCGAAAGGAAAACACAATAAAAGACTATGAGAGTGGCCCAACTCAGTGAACGGGCCTTGTGCACACGCTGCGTCGTCTCGAGCCGCCGATGATTCACATCGACACTGAGGCTCACTGTTAAAAGCAGTGAGTGGGTACGGGCATTCATTTCTTCTTTCCTATTATACCGCCTCACATTTAAAACCAATATATCTTTTCTTCACTGTGTGGATGAAAAAGCACTCCAGGTCAAATTCCTTCAAAAAAAAAAAAAAACCCCCAAGCTGTTTGGTTTGCAAACCATTAGCTGGGTTGCCCACATGTAGAAAAATAAATACAAATTGATATTTTAACTAAAAGGTTCGACACTTTCAGTTTGTCCGTACTTTAAATGATTTAGCGGCTCTGAAACACATGAATGTACCTCTAACACCACACTTTACCATACTGAGAGAGAAAGTTAACACCGGTCATTCACTACATAAAGAAACCAGCGATTTAAACACTGAATATGTTCCAGGAACAGATAAGATTTACTGGCCTACAGCATAAAATAACCTTTATCTATACGCAGGAGGTCGATAGATAACTCTGCACAACCTCTGTGTCGACATTTTCATTTCCTCAACATACACTTTTAACTGCTCACAGGACAGGACAGCGGCCGAGCGAGGTGCTGCACAACACTTCAGGTGTGAAAGAGAATGAAAAATGTGGATTGTCAGGGTTGTTTCAGACTCCTGCAGGAGATAATTCATCTCTTTTAATGTACATTTTAAAAGTCAGTAAATCTGATAAACCATTACTCCTAAAATACTCTCCTCGGCAGAATATTATTTTAACTGATGGATCACTTTTATCCCATTTTCAAGCCGATAACCTTCACAAGGATTACATCATTAGGATTAGAGGCGTCAGCAGTCTTTTAGAAAACGTACATCAGTGTTAGAAACTCTGGCTGTATTGTAGGTCACTGCGAGTTAACGGTCGTCTCCGTCAGTCGGGTAAACAAAAACATCCGACTGAGCGTTGAGGGGCGACGTCTGTCAAAAGTTAAAGTGTGGCAGAACAAATAGTGATAAAGCAGCTGCCAGTGTGAGACAGACAGCTCGCTCAGCCCCGCAGAGAACAGATAAAGCTCAGTGGACGAGTTGTTTAAGTAAGGAGGTTTGTGGCATGTTCACGTTAAATAGACTCGACTAACTTTGCCTGGCTCTTCAAAATTACTCAGAGATGGCCCCATATCTGTTGTGCAGTCTCATATTTAAAGGGATGAGAGAAAAAGTGGACGTTCGCACCTAAAAAAAACCGTCCTGCAGTCCTCCTGATGTGCATGTGTCTGTACTGAGGCGACCACAGGACATGTGCTAACCACCCACGACATCATATGAATCTATTTTTTTTACATTCGGCACATACTTCAGTGCAAAATATAGAGACACATCACTAGTTCAGCATGAAGCTTCCTTTGTCATTAAAAAAAAAAGGGAATCTGATCGTTATTTTGAATTATAGCACCTTATTATGGAGGGTGTGTAAAACCCGACTACATTCAAAAACCTGACATTTAAATGTTGCCTAACTTACTGGCACATATTCAGCCTCGGTTGTACAAAAGCTTTCACCAAAGAGCGATTTAGAAATGTGAAAGTGACGCACGCTGTCAGGTAACTCACAGCCGAATGAAATCCTAACCTTTATGAGACGCTTATCTCGCTTGCTACCACCTGTAAGTCTGGAGAACAGGTAAGCCAATTATAAAAGTCTGAAATGTGCAGATTGGTGAGGAACACGAGCGCCAAATAAATTATTTATAGGAAGCCTGAAGTGATAAGTTCATGATGTATGTAAAGTACTAAATAGTCCGATTCTGGAAGACACCGTGAGATGACTCAAACCTACCTAAAAGTGGCTCATGCTTTCAACTCCTCAAACATTTTAAAATTAACTACGTTCCAGCAAACTGGATTATTCCTGAGTAAGCCCAGGTCATGTGGGCATAAAGCTTCGATGTGCAACAGCACGCTCTACAAAAACACTCCCTTCTGTGACACAGCCTGAGAAAGACACGATGAAACAGGTAGTCCCCCTGTAGCAGCCCCGGTCCAGACAACAAGCACTGGTTTGGAGGAAAAAGTGCCCACAGACACAAAGAGAAACTCCCACAACACTACTCAACAGCATTAGGATAAAATATGGAGGACAGATAGAAGATAACCTTCACCTTTCAGATTAAAAACTCGAGTTATATAAAGTGTTCACTCTTTAACATTAGATGAAACCGCCTTTGAAGAGATTAATTATACTCTTTAACGGAGTGCAAACGAGCCACAAAGAGCTTTCTAATATGAACTTGATATCTTCCCAAGAAACGAAACCACTACAGAAAAGAACAATCAAAAAGGTGCATGCAGTGTTGTGCGTAATGCGTCTTCTGGCCAGGAGGTTACTCCTTCGGATTAAGCCAAACAATATCGTGTTAATCCGTGAATTGAACCGATAAGAGTTTCTCAATTCCACACAACTGTAAAGCTCCCAAGATCCATTTGTCTTCTTAAAAAAAAAAAAAGGTATCAAAGACTAAAGTGCATTCAAAGCAGGAGAACAGGTGCGACATAAAAGGAGAGGTCCAGGTAGTCATGTTTGTCACTCCTGTTTAAATCAATAAGGCATTATGTACTTCCTTATGAGGGGTTTTGTGTAGTTTTAATAAGTCGTGGGTTGTATGCAGTATCTCTTGCACTCCTAAAAGACACAAAAAGTGCATTTTTAATCAACTTAGAAGCCACCCAACTGTCCAAAGCATCATGTACACTGTCATGACAATTAAATGACTGTTATTTATCACTGTGGTGTATGTTTAAGTGTGCAGCTGAAGGATGAGTCAATGAGAGCCAGCCTCTGTGAATCTCTGACATGCATTTCAAATTACAGCTCCACGGCTAAGCACAGACCACAACACAAGAACAGGCTTTAGTTGAGGATACACACACCTACCGATTGTTTACACACCTTTTTATATTTAGACGTTTTATACCACGAGTCGAGATAAATCGTTTAAACTAAGTGAATTATAGTCAACGCTGTTTATTGGTGAAAAACAAACGGCGTTAACTATTTTTTTTTTATTGAAGTGTTTAAATCTTTAAGTATTTATCGTTTAAGGGTTAGTTTGTCTACTTTTTAAAAACAACATTAAGAGCCACAGTGCCGAGAGCAGGGCGGTCCTCCACGCTGTCCGACAGCAGCACAGCGGCGGCTCAAGAACCACCAGAGTCCCCGGTTCCTCCAGGAGGCCTTTCCGCCTGGACCTGCCGCTTTTCTGCTACACTAATCCGTTTCTCTCACTCCCGAGCCGAGCACACGGGAACGACATGCAAAAGAAGAAACAACTCATATGTATTTACCTGTCCGTGGTGGGTCCGTTAACGTGAGGACGAAGAGAAGAGAGAAGAGGACGAAACTGCTGCTGTCAGCCTTTGGCAACATTTATCCTCCATTCATAGTAACTCCTCTATTCAGAAATGTTTTTTTTAAAAATACACCGAAGATTTGCACCGACGCCGCCGCCGCCCTCTCCGGATTTATAACGGTTAGCGCTTAACACAGTTTATGCCCATTTTTGTTTAATGCACTATAAAGTGGCGGCTACCGAAGAAAAACACCGTACGTGGAGCATAGTCGCGCCGCACAGCGACACCAGACTGTGGTTGATCTGGTCGAGGAGCTAACGTTGGCTAACGGCCGTTAACGTCGTCCGTCCTCTGCTACTGCTGCTCGGTGTGGAGCCAAGATGGCTGCGGCCTCCCATCACAACAATCCCAAACATGGAGAAAAACACACACACACACACAGCACACACACACACACACACAACACCACACACACACACACACCACACACACACACAACACACACACAACACACACACACACACACACACACAGTCAGCTGGAAGAGCAGCCGGGGCGGAGTTTAACCGATAACACCTTGTGTGTGTGATGTGATTATGTTGATGAATCCGACCCAAACTATTATCAGTTGACACACTGAGAGCTGGTTGCAGGTTATCGCCTAGCAACGTGCGAGTTGTCCGGTAGTTACACATGGAAGAAGACTCTGATGAAGAGTGATTGTACTAATTAAACGTTTTAAAATGTGACACCTTACCTCAAAGTCTGAAGGAGATTCATTCTAAATTCGAGTTATTTCACTTTATTTAAATTAGATTTTTTAATTTGGGATCCTTTGTACTAAAAATGCATACATATAAATTTCCTTCCTGAATTTTATGAAATAATTTGCTCAGTTTGATGGCCATCATTTCCTTTAATGGACTGTCTGACCTAGTTGACCTTGTAAACCCATTGGTCAAACTCTATGAATGTCATTATTATAATCCCTGTCTTTGAGGTCATTTTAGCATATTATATAGAATATATATCTAATATCTTAACCCCAGTTTTCAGACCTAAAAGTACTATAAAAGTCCTGTACATATAGACATGTGTTGTTTTAAGACCAACTTAACAAAATGCAAATCTATCTTTTAACTATTATGAAACACCACCCAAATTAAACCTTTTCTTACATAAGATAAACATAAACATTTGACATTAACTGCATTAAAATTCTGTGTACTAAAAACATACTTTTGTGTGGCTTAGTAAAATGCTCACAACTTATTCAAAATGACCCACTCCTTGATAACATCCCTGGCACCAGTAGGAGGTAGAACAGAACTATTGACAAGGATGTTATTCAGTGATACATGGCATTATATTCTTATGCAGACCATTTTTAGTCAAATATGTCCAATTTAATAACAGATTTTATGAAAGCTTGTACAGTTTTATGACGCTGCTAACATTTTTCAACTCTAAATTAAGAGCAGACAGGGCAAGAAGAAACAATCATTTACTCTGACAACAAAGAGCTGAAGCCCTGTGTGGTTTTCCCTGTCATTTTAAGTAATTTCCATAATGCAGAAACAAACACTAAAACGTCAAAGCAGCATGTATGAAGGCAATAGCTACTAGATGCTGTGTGTTGAAATTTAATTTGTATGTGTGACTCAGAAACAGCTACTGTATTATAATTATGTTAATATAATTTAAGCGTGTGCTGCTAGGTGTGTGGCAGAAGGAAATAAAAAGGAAACCTTGCATTTGGGATAAAACAAAATATAGGAAACAAGTAATTAAATAGAATTTGGACACCAAGATATGTTTTACAGGGATCTCCATTAACCCATCTGCACAAAAATGTAACAAATAAATCCATAAAAATTCTTCAGTCCTCTGTACATTTCTTTTTCCAGTCATCCGGCCGAAAGATTTGAAACAAAAACTGGGTTTGGAGAGTTTATAAATCAGGTTCTCCACATCATAATAAGTTTATTTTGTACAATCCCAGCAGAGAACAGCTCCTGTTACTTAGAAAAAGTCTGAGGCTTTCCGTCTCTTGGGAAGTTGCAGCAGATTGTCTGTGAGTGATGTAAGGTCCTGAGAGCTCGGCGTCTTCGCTTTGTCTGGTGTCGGCGTTCCTGAGGGAGTGGCTGGGCCTCCAAAGGGAGACTTGCAGCCAGCGACTCCATGCGAGGGCGATGGGGTGTAACTCGCTCGTAGCGCTTTGTCTGTGTATTTGCTAGATGTCCGATTTACGAGCCTCTGCAGGGCGGGGGTGAGGGCTGGGCTCAGACCTTTAGGCGTAAGACTGCAACACAAAGAGGTTGATGTGGTTAGATAGTTTATAATAGAGGCAATCCCTTCACAACTCATGAAGAAAACAAGCTTAACTTTCTCTCTGAAAGACAGGAGCTGACAGATGCAGTAAGCTGTTGTTACTTGTAGAAGCAGATATAATAATTAAGAGTGCAGAAGGTCAAATGTCTTTACCTTGCAAGGTTCTCTGAGACCTTTCGCAATGCCTCTTGTTTCTTTGCACGGTTTTTAGCGGCAGCTTCGTTGGCCATCTTTAAACCCAGCCTCTCTCGTCTTCCTGGTTCTGGAATCTTTTACAAACCACATATATTAATATACTGTCAAGATTTTACAACTTAACATTTAAAAATGTAGCACTGAAGCTTCAGTACCTTGAATGATGGACCATGATTCCTCTCAATATATGGGCTGTCTGATCCATCCAGACGAAATGGGGTGCTCTCGATCTCACCCCAGGTCATCAGAGGTGACTCAGCGAGACCTGAAAGGACAGAAACAGCTTAAAGAAATCCACTCCAATTGTAAGTAGGCAGTTCTTAAGGCAACGTTTAGTTGAATTTTAGTTGACTATGACTCTAAGACCCACTTACCAGGAGCTGGGGAAGGCATCGTTTCAAAACCATATCCGTTCACTGATGGGGATTCATGTGGGATGAGCTCTTTCCCATCGGGGCCGACTTTACCCTGTTTGAACTGGACAGAAAACACGATACATCAACTACACCAGTTACAAAATAACATTTTTATTCAAGTGAATATTAAACTGCCATGAAGACGTAATTCATTCGAGTGTGGAGCACTTTTCAGATACCATATTTAGTAATATTTACCTGAGCATTGAGGGCCGCAGCCTGCTGAATCTGGCTTTTGTTTAGAGCTTTGCTGAATGGGTCTCCAGCAAAGCGTGTGTTCTTGTGAACAACCTCCCGTGGCTTCTTAAATAAAGCATCATCATCTTTAACACCTGATTAAAAAGAATAATAATAACGTGAAAACACATGAAATCAACATTTTCTCTCACAGCTTGATCGACTACAGGCCCTTAGTAGGGATTAATGTCAATCCAAGTCTGGTCTTCTTACCCTCTGGATAATACATCAAGGCATTCTTCGCTTTGTACTCCCATGTCTCAAGTCCAGCTTTGACACATTCAAGCGCTGCTTTCTCTACGGATGGTAAGGCAAGGTTCTCCTCGTGGCGCTGAAAAATATCAGAAGCGTTTTTTAAATTTGGTCAAGGGGTGTACCAATATTTTAATCAACTGCCACGCAACCCTCATAACTATCAAAGACATGGTTTCTATGATCAGCACACCTGTAATCCAAACATTTCATTCATTTGCTTTGAATTTAACTAAAGCTTTTTAACTCATACATACCTGCTTGTATTCAGCCTCAGCCTCATATAACCAGTAATGCTTCAGCTTCTCCTTGTCTTCTGCCAAATCCATTATGTGCTCAAATGATGCATTATCCTCACTGGTATTTTTAGCAAGGAAACGATCCAGACAGGGCAGCTCTTTCTCTTTCTTTTCGTCCTCCTTGCTCTCTATGAATACAATATCAATAGAAATTGAGTTAAACTACATCATTTGGAAGTTCATTTGTTATATTATTGTTATTTGAGTATTACCGTCCAACTATTGCAATTAAAGAGTTTGAAAGTGGGACACAGATCTGAGGGTTTATATAATCACACAAATAAAGCTCTGAACATTGTTTTATGTCATCCGTTCTTCATCTTAAAACATTAGATACTTACCCCCATCTAAACCTTTACCGCCATGAGTGGAGGAGGGAGACCCCGATCGGCCCACTGGAGTCTCAAAGCTGGCTGGTGTCACATCTTACAAACAAAGAGAATGAAGGGGAAAAGGTGTAAAGACTAAATATCTGGCTCGTGGTATATTGTCACATCATTGACATATAGAAGCAAAACAAACCCAGGGTGTTCTTTAATTCTGTAAGTAAGTGAGTTTAATTTCACTCACAGGGTGCAGAAGACCGTGGCGTAGATTTTGTCAAAGATGATCCATATCGGATGGATATCTCTCTCATCCTCTCTAGGTCACCAGTTTCCTCTGCATCAAGATAATCCTTCTGTGCTTGCAGTTTGGTCACATCTGGGAAGAAGTCCCTCTGGATGATCTTCTCTAAACTCTGTTAGAAATAGACAGGTAGATACAGGTATGACTTTGTGTAAGGAAATTAGTTTTTTGTTATTATACAACAACAAGCTGTTATAAAAGTGACATGCATCACTTTCACTCAGTCTGGCATATTAACTTACTAGTGCTTACTAAAATAAAACAGGATGGTACGGCTGCAACTTACCGTCACAATTTCCCAGAGACATCTATAAATTGCTTTTTTCTGACTTACAGTTCAAAACTGAAATGTACGATTATATACATAGAGAAATCCTAACATTTAAGAAGCAATAACCACAAAACGTGTCTGTTTTCTTTGGAAATTTTAACCAAAACAATTTTTCTGTGAGTTGATTTATTGTTTAATCAAATAGCAACAGTTTCAGCTGTACAGTATGGGATAATGAAACCAATACCAATCATTAATGTTACAAAGAAATCCTAATAATTAATTACAACTGCCACAATGTACTATCTACATATTACATGTAGTTTATTCTTACACCATGATATGACTCCTACTGATTATGTATCCTAGTTTAGATCATTCCTACAACAAACAGGAGCCTGGCTACCTCTGATTTGAACCGTCGCTTAAATAACTCTGGTATCACTAAATTAATTAACCCCGAATTACAAAACACAAAGACCAAAACACCAAAACTAATGTTGGTTACACTATTACTGTCCCTCTACTAACATTAACCGAGCTAGCACTGCTTTCTCCGTTTACCTCAATGTACTGCTCCTCATCGAGAACCTTTCTGTTCAGCCTGCTCTTGTCCGTCTCCTCGGGTTGTTGCAGGAGAGCCACAGTGTGTGTGACCGCTGAAGGGACCAGAGTCCCGGACAGAGACTTCCTCACGCTGGCGCTGCCCTCCATTGTGGACCCTGTTAGCCTCCTCGGCTAACGGCTAACGACGATCCTCGTAAACTCCGACTGAGGCGAAATGGAAAGCGGCTTCTGTAGTGGAGAAAGACAGCTCGAGTATTTGAAGCAGACGCCGTATTTGTAGATATTAAGACTGTCTGAATCTCACTAATTGTAAGCAGGTAGTGAGCTAACTAGTTGCCGTAAGCTAACTTCAGGACTGCGTACAAACAACGTACTGTTACGTAGTATGAATTGTTGCGTCACCGGAAGTTTACTGCCTCAGGAGATTTCCAGTATAATCATTATTATTATTAATAATAATAATTATATGAATAATGCGAGTAGGAATGTATGCTGGGAGAATTAAAGACTTATGATTTAACTTTATATAACCTATGGTAAAATGTTTTGTGGATATTATAAATTATAGATATATTATATATATATTTTGTAGGGTTTTTATTGTGAAAGAATAAAAACAAGAAGCAATACCCAGGTTTCACTCGGTTTCCTGTTATCTGCCCAATTACATTACAATTATATTACATATTTTAACCCAGGAATCCTCTTTCCCCATCATTGCCTGAGCCCCAAGACTGACCATCACTGGTTTAAACTGACTAAATCATATGAAGATCTCTGACATAAAAAAATTAAAGTTACAAATTAACCTACATACAAAACTGTATTGTGGAATTTTTGAGATAAAAAGAGATGTTTAAATAAAGTGAAATATTTAAGTTCTTAATGGATGTATTCAATGTCAGCTTTTGGATTTATGTATGATGCTTTAACTTTAACATATTTAAAAAAATGAAGTTTATAACAATGCATTTACAGATATTTAACATTCAGGATTATTATTAATGTGTATATCCTAGTGCAAATGCCTTCTTTCATACACAATCACGAGTCACAAAACTGTCTACAGTCATATAACTTGACTGACACAAGATGAAGTTTTGTCTGTTTATTGCTGTATATTTGATACTGGACATGGAATACAATAAACCACTGTGAAATGGAAATCATTGGAAATAATGAAAAACAACCACTGTCCATACAGACAAGATGATTTGAAGCAGACTGCAGGCTGATGAATCACACTGTCATCTTCTGGGGTTCTGTTCTGTAAGACATGAACAAAATGGATATTACTGTTTGATGCATAAATCAAACAATGCATTCAACACAGCTTTAGCAGGCAAAACACTGTCTGGTGTCAAATCTGGACTACCATGGAAAAAGAAAACAAGACAGTAACAGGGAATAGAGAGATAGGCTGTTGTCATGAATTATGCATCTGTTGAGTGTTTGTTTTTGTGACAATAAACTGAACTGCTTGCTTTGTGAAATACATACACAAGGGAGCAGCATTGGAGTAATGCATATATTACCCAAACTGACATTTTGAGTAATGGCTGCAGTAGTACGGTGGAGATTTATGGAGATTTATATGTTGGCAAAAACCAGCTGATTAGGAAAGGGACTGTAGTGTTACATGGGTGTTGGGTCACAATCTGTTGGAGCTTTCCCCACCCCACCTGGACAGTTGGACCTGGACACATGGATAGCAACTGTCTGCCTTCTCAGATCACTCATACAGGAATCCATGAACAGCCACTGCTTTCAGCTCTGCCACAAAGGTTGCAGATCAAAGGATGAAGAGGAGGTTAAAGAGGAGGTCCATAAGCTTGGCAACATGTTCTAAAAAAACAGGAGAGAGCATGTAACATGTAGTTGTAGTAATTCATATGGTATCAACTGTTGACCTGATACCAAAGTAACTGCTTAAAGAAAGAGTAATTTTGTATTTACTGCTTAATCTTAATTAATTGCTATTGAATAGTGTCGTACAAAGCTTCAGATGCTTGTTTTTGTCGGCTGAAGGGGGGTGGAGGCTCTTAGGGAAGAGTGGATTTTAATGGACTTGCACATTCTGGATGTGGTTGAGAAGAGATGTTCACTTTGCCATTGTTTCCTCTCCTCTGGATGCCGGATGCTGACCAGTTGAGGTGATTTTTGATTCGACCTTCTTGCAGTCCTCCTTGGAGATGTTTTGAAATGGTTTTCTAATGTGTTAAACAATGAGTCTGCAGTGATATTGTGTCTCACAGCAATTTACATATAAACATTTTCCATTTCGCCAAGTATTTGATCAAATTCACCAAATTATTTGGCAATGCATCCGACACCAGCACAAAAATACTTGCATGTAATTTCATTGCTTCAGTTTGTGAGAAGGTGTGTGGAAGACCATGTCCACCTGCAGTCAGTAAGTCACAATCCCCAATCTTTGAATCCCCAGGTGGCTAAGTCCTGCTTGTCACTGTAACCGGGCCAGAAGAGCACTTGGCTTAATTGCAGGTAAAAGTCAACAAGGCCCAACCTTTTCAGTTCAAGCTCAATTGTTAAATTGTCAAAAACTGGGGCATTCCCACTTTAACTGGTTGCTCAAGTGAAGCACAGATACCTGAAAAAACTACTTAAGTACAGTCACAACGCATTTGTAATTCCCACCTCTGCTAATAATATAGATCTATGATAGAGGGGTGGGGTAAACCTCATGTTATTCCACTGTGTAATGTGTTTGAGAGCAGAGCTGCCAACCACACATGTCCATACAAGTAAATGCACATTATATTTTAAGGAATTATTTATTATAGTCCCTACTTAAGGTATTGGCTTTATTGATGTTTATTAATTATGTTTAAATATTTTATTTTTTTTATATTTAATTTAATTTGTTTACCTTTTTCATTTGGTTGATATAAATACTTTCTTTCACTCATTTGAATCTTAAATTGTACAAGAATGTCCATCAGTTGAATGTCTGTATGTTTATAGTGTTTCAATAAAGAGATTTTCTTTTGAAAAAAAAAACAACAAAAAATCTATCTTGAAAAAAATAGATAAAAAACAAACACACACACGTCACACAGAAAGGCAGTGGACGTCCATTTTAGAAAGATGGTTTTCAACACAGAAAAATGTATAAATAATGAAGACTTAGTGTTGGGTTTATCATTATGGATTTATTTTACAAAGTCTCCAAAAACACACTGCAGTTCAAGGCTGAATTACAAAGCTTCTGAAAGGGATATGATTGCCCCGGAGCCTGCATTCAACAGCACAATGCTAATCTCTAATCTGATCTAATGTTGGTCACTGTCACTCACATGTGCATTAAATCAAATCAACCAGTACTGACAACAAAAGGACACATTGGCTGTACGTAACATAACCTGTGGTATGTGGTAGGCCTATGGGAAAACAAGACCAAGCAGACATTCACGCCGGTTATTTCAGCAAGTGTTTCTAAAGAACACACAGGACGTTGGTCTGGAATACATTACAGGCTTAATGCAATGTTTACACAAACAAAGTGACATTGTTAAAACGTAGCCAGGCTACAAACCTCGATCAGGGAGAGCAGGAACACCCTGCAGCAGTGGGAGAGTAGAGCTCAAGCCTCAGGCCCATTACAGGTATTTATTTCTGGGGCACTGATGTGGAAACTCACTGCATTGTACTAGGTAGGAGTATCTCAGCCAGATTGTCATTTCATAGACACCTGTATTAATGACTTAGAATTTGCTATTCGAAAGAAAAGAAGGTTTAAGTATGTTTTAAGAAAAGTGGATGTTAATTTCTGTATTTAAAAAAGGCTCCTGAATGAACAGTGTATTAATGTGTGAAATTAAAGCCAGCAGCAATTCAGTTTAGCTCCCAGCCGTTATTCATCCTTCCTCAGCTGCTTTTTCATACAAATGAAAGCCGGCAATTCAGTTTAGTGTCAGCTTTTGATTGAACAAACTTTAAGATATTCCACACCTGTTATAAATTTGTATAACCTGCAAATCAGTTTAGTGTGAGCTTTTCAACATCTGGCATTCACACACGCAGTTTCTTCAGATTGTCTTGTTTAGTTTTCTGTGTTTCCCACACCAAATGATAATCTTTTCTGACGCCTCCACTTTGCTCTTCGGTTTTTAAACCAAACCTATCGCCAGGAAAAAGGTAATGTTATTTAGTTGTAATTTAATTGTGTCATGACACACTGTACTCATCTTATTTAACTCTTAAATAAAACCACTAGAACAGTATTGGACTATATTATCATTATCAACACAGGCATATAATAAAAAACAACCAGAGTTTAGGTTAAATCCAGTGCTATCATCTTTAGTAAGTATTTCCCACATGACAACTCATTTTTTATAGCGAACATAATACAGCACTCATTTGGAGGAATTTGAAACGTATCCTCCTGCATTACTGTGGAAACAGGACTGTTATTTGCTGAAAGGTTCAATGTGTCTTACCTCCACTCTTTCTTCTCTTAAGTGAGTGCGCTGTGCTAGTTTCTCCCTCGTGTTCACATCTGGATACTGGTTCTGCAGGAACAGCTCCTCCAGTGCATCCAGCTGCTCCTCTGTGAAAATAGTGCGGTGACGTCTGGTTCGCCTCTGCACCTGACCGGGCGCCTGCTCCTCTCTGTGTGCATCCCCTAGCCTGCACGGGTCTGTGAGCATCGCTGGGGACCATCCGTACTGACAGGCTGTAGAGGGGAGGTCTGATTTTAGGTCAGCGTGCAGGTCAAAATCAGTTTAAAGCATGCATCAACAGAGACGAGTTTTGTCACAAAGAGAATTGGTTTGGTCTTACCTTCGTGAATGAAATCAGTCTGGAATATGTCTCCACAGTGGGAGCAGTAGCAGCAGCACAGACAGGCACGGTGTACAGTCTCTGTCTGGCCTCCAACAGGACTCAATCCCTTCTCTTTAAGTCCGGCACCACTTGTTCCACATGACCGTCTGTCTCCATTGCTGTTTGGATATTTGGTCAGTATGTTCTCAATAGTAAAAGGAAACTTTTGTCTCTCCACCCCAATCAGTCCATCCATTTCCAAAGAAATTCCCAATAAAACCCAAGAAGTGGTGATCATGGGATGTTGACACACAACACTTTTTGATAGTTCAGGCTCAGCTGCTCCTCTGCTTCTCCTCTCTCTACAACAGTGTGTCAGGCCCTTATAGTGAAATTGGGAGGCAAAAAAAAATAGTAAAACTATAATCCCCCCTATGGACCAGACACATAAAACGGTTGAAACTTAATTCCTAGCTAATCTGGGCAGTTTTGTGAAGAGGTTAGGGAGGACGGCAGATTCAGTTAATCTTGCTTCATTCCTTTCTCCAAAAGAAATCAGATTTCAGTGCATAAAATGAGAAGTGGAGAGCTCCTAAGATCCTTATTGTTGAGGTTTTAGAGAAAAGGGGATTGCTCGGTATTAGAAACCTGGATTTAAAGATGAGCGTTTTTTGGTGTGGCCAGAGACTTGTGTATGCTGAATTTGAGGATTAGCCGTTAAATTTATTTCATAATGTCACTTTTCCTATTTAGCTTTATCAATGATCTGCAAATTAGTAGATATGTTCAGTAAGTGACACAATGAGGCAGTGCTGACAACAAGAATGCATACTAATTGCACACAGTTATTAGGCGGTTGCAAATGAATGAATGACTCATCATGCCAGTGACGTGCGTGGTGACACTAATAGATTTGTACGTATTACACAGTACAGATAAACACAAATGGCAAGAGTAAATTCAGGGAAAAGCCATCCCTCCGTGTAGTTTGTATTCGCCATCATGCATCGTGTGTCTTATCTGTGTGGTGCAGTCTTTCAGTCTCACTTCTCTGACAATGTGCACAGCTGAGGTAAAGCTATTACAGGTTAAATTCACCCCCCCCTCCTCCAACAAATCCTGTGATTTCATACAAGGCAATACACCTTTTTTTTTTTTTACCCAGAGAATTAATGGATTTCCACAATCTGTCTTAAGCTCCTCTTATAAGGGCTTTTGAAAACAGATAACAATAAACACCATCCCATCCTTTTCACTTGGGTTTAATAGCGCCCAGATTGTTGATGTATAGTTTGCGGAGCATGTGAGATTGCTATCTGCAGTTATTGTGGTTCTCAATAGAAGGAATTGTACCACATCCACATTGGTTCAAACAGTTCAAAATTCATTACCGGGGATTAGAATGATAAAGGTTCATTTTGTTGTTATAAGAGCAATATTTGGTACAAGAGGTAAAGTAAAGAAAAGCCTCCACCACCCCATGGCTGATTCAGTTTCTTTTTTAGAGATTTTGAAGGAGCTCTCTTCAATTTAAAGTGATTGTCCCCTGGAAACGTTATCAGCATCAGAAATGGTTCCACTACTACCCTTCAAATACAAAACCTGAAGTGGCATATAAAGGACAATTGGACAATACTGATTTCTTTACTCTCTCACTCTCCCCAGAAACAAAAGTCAACCAAACACCAGTTCGGATGTAGTGACAGAAAAAGGCACCGTGCCGAGGCTAAAAAAGAAATAATTGCTTCTCTGCCTCATCGTGACGTAAAGCTTGTAATTTCTGGAAAATATTGTCCTGATGGTGCTGACGTATGAGATTAATTTCAGCACGATTATCACTGACTAATACACCCTTTGGGTTCGTGTTACAATAATGACGACTCAGCAGGAGGTTGGTGGGAGAAAAAATGAAAAAAGGACACAAATCAAGTACAATTCAGACAGGAGACACTGGATAAATGAGCAGAGAACCTCAACTGGTATCAGACTATTCATGTGTGAAAAAGCTCAGTGTCTCTACTTCACTGCTGGACCGGGGCCCAAAACCTCCTGGGGAATCGGAGATTGCAGCTGTGTGACCAGGAAATGCAGAGGATCAACCTTCCTCTCTGTTTGCTCCAGACTTGCTTGCTTGTGTGTGTGTGTGCCTGTGTGTGTGTGTGAGAGAGAGAGAGAGAGCTTGTGCAGGCAAAACACAGTAACTGTTGAAGGCTCGGAAAACAGACTTGTCAGATATAGTGATACCCCCGGGGGACTTGAGAGGAATCAGCAAAACTACCTCGTGGTTGGAACTGCATATCTAATAGTTGTATAAATACAAATATTATGTTTCTTTCTACATTTCCCTGAAATCTGATAATGAGCTCTGGGATCTGCTGTGTGATTTGTCTTCAACAGGCTTTTTCATCTACGGTGGTGTTGAACTCATAGTGATCACGGGTTTTGTTATTCAAATGTTTATATGTTACGAAAAACACACATAAACTAATACATATGTAATTTGTAGGCTACTGTATCCCCAAGGAGAGAGACAAACAGTCCCTCCCAAAGTCGAAAGTTTGCATCAGTGTGATGGCTCACATCACTCGCAAGCACAAAGGTTTCTGATTCTGTCTGTATAAACCATCTTAACATCACAATATCAGTGCAACGACACATTCTTGTTTTGTAAAAGCAGTATAGTAGTAGCAGTAGTTGTTGAAATTTGTTACCTTTGACAAAAGACCCTGACATTATCAAAATGGTTTAAGAACAAAAAAAAATATTTTATTTATAGGCCTATGCTATTTTTATGCTTGTGCAGAAAAAGGGGAACTTATTATTGAGCTAATCAGAGATTTCTGTTAGCAGTAGGTTGCTACCTCACAAAGCTTATGTTGCTTTTTTGTGGAGAAAAAAAAAGGGAAAATAGCCTAGTTATTTTTTTAAGTTTAGCTTTTTAACTTTGAAGAGCTGAGCAAAAACTATATTCCCAGAGCCTTTAAACAGCCATGGTCCTGCATTAGAAAAAGTTCAAACAACCAAAAAGAGCTAATAGAACAATGAGAAGACACTGAATCGCTCAGAAAGAAGGCACATCAAGTCATATGATTGTTAAAAATGATAGAAAATACATAATTCAGACATAACAATAAATAACATAAAAATAAAAAACAAGGAAAATAAGAAAAAAAACAGGAAACAATCGGCTCAAAATCCACCCAAATCCAAATGTCTTGCAGTTACTGACCTCATTATTAAGGTTAATTGTACAGTTTATAATAGTTTTTAAAGGAATACATAATAGACCTTGAAGAAAAAGGTCAGGAACCGCTGCCCTCAACCCCCACAGCAGAGCAGGGCAGTAGAGTCGTGCGCCCCCCTGCGACCAAACCCCACAACGTCTGAACGGCAGAGCGACACAGCGCGGCAGGCTGCCCGCCACTCGCGATAACTCGCGTTGGAGCAGCAGATGGGCGGAAAAGGCGGGAGAAGACTGCCGCTTCCGCGTCCGCGCAGCACAGACACAACAGTAGGGCAAAATGGACGATAAGTTAATATTGGCTGTATTTAATTACCCAGAGCTGTACAATGTCACTTTGCCGAATTACCGCTGCACTGAAAGTCGGGCAAATGCTTGGAGAAACATCAGTATCGCACTGGGTCTCCCATGTGAGTGTTTGGTTGTTTATTTTGTTTATCACAACTTTACTGTCAGTTATTATTCGCTGAGCCGATGTTGGACGCGGACGACTAAACAGGCAGTGTGTGTTTCCAGGAGATGGAGGTAGTTACAATGTCGCTTGCGGGCAATTTTTCTAGCTTTTTGTTTATTTTTTTTATTTTTTTTTTATCCGCGCGACTACATCCCGGTGGTGTGGTTGCAGCCGCGCGCACCGTGCTAGCGGTAGCAGCCGTAGGCCGCGCTGCACCGGACGGCACCGGACGGCTCTGCCTCTGCGCCGCCAGCCGCGTGTCCACTGCACGGCACGGCACGGCACGGCGGAGGGAGGGAAACAGGCTCCGCGTCACGCATTTACCGAGCCGCGTGCTTTTTCGTGAACACCGCGAGCTCCGTGTGGACTGAAAGGCTTGTAGGAAGTCTCGTGGAAGCGGCGGCGGAGGCGGTACGGTGTGTTGGATAAAACACACCGGAGCCAGTGACGAGGGGGGGCCCCGAAACAGTATCAGGTGCACGGAGACATAGTTAATGATGAGGCGGCACGTAACTACAATGAGCTCCAGACAGCTCGTGACAGGATCAATAAAGCCACAATGAATTAACCATTGTTATTTCTTTGTGTAACTTTATAAAGATTTATAATTAAAGCCCAATCGTACTTTAAGTAATGTGTTGCTTTATTTGAATATATACTGTACATACATTACACAGTTCCTTTTATTAGCTGAATGCAGTCTAATGTATTAATATTTAATTAATATATATATAATTATATATACTGTCAGTGAGTACAACTCATCTGCCCCCAGCCATCAACCAAATATTCTTCCTTTTAGGAATATTATGATGTTTTAATTAGTTTTAATGTGTTAACACTGTATGATTTTAGTGGACACAGTCTCCTCAGATATGAGCCTATTATTAACACTAGAGCTGAAGCCATGAGTTGATTTATGAATCAGCAGTTATTATGATAATCTGTTAATTATTTAAGTAATTTTCTAGGCAAAACACAAAATATTTCTATCTTCAAACTCCTCAGTTGCAATGATTTGCAGATTTTCTTAATAGATGGTTCATTGAATATATTTGGGTTAGAAAAGAAAGAAAATAATTGCCAATTTAATCGATAATAAAAATACTAATTAGTTGCAGCCATAATCTGCACTGACAGTCTTGAAAAACAAAACATAAACTAACTTCACAGAGGAACATGAAGTGCTATTGCATTGATTTGGCTGCTTTCTGTTGTAGTTAAAATAGAGTCCAAAACGTGTGTGAAGGTACAGTTGTTATTTTGTCCTGCTTCATAATATTTGAACATAGAGATCCTCATTTAGTCTGTCTGCCAACATCAGTGATTTTATTGATCAGTAAGCAGTGATTTATCTGGGCCAGAGAAAAAAAGAAACCCAGCTTTCATCTTTGACCCAAAGACCAATTCTGTACTTGGCCATCAACATTTACCTATAATTACAATTTCAACATGATATCTGGGTGTATTTTATTAACTATATTTGTATTCTGAGGGCTGAAGAGCACACTTCTCACAAGCCATGTAGGTACATGTTTAGTCTAACATCTGTGCAGCAGACTACTCATCTGCGAAAAAATGTCTGGGAATGTAATTTATGGGAAATATTTTTATTGTAACCGCTGTGTTTAAAGTGTCAGTGTGGTCAGTTTTCTTCTCATATGCAGCTTCAGTAGACGTCCTGGTTGCAGACTGCTTCAAATCTTTCATTCCTGTTCATTGTCAGTAAACAGAAGATATATTTAAAGTGTTTTCTTGCTTCTTACACTCTGATATTTTACTTTCCCAGCTGATGAGTGTAAAAGAAAATGGAAGAACATGAGAGACAGGTACTTGAAGGAAGTACGAATGGAGATCAAAAGCAAGAAGCAAGGAGAGATTGTGCAAAGTAGATGGAAATACAGACAACTTATGAATTTTATTGCACCCTTCACTGGGTCGAGAAGCGGAGTGGCCGACATCTGCGGCAACAACGACGACGACCATGACAATCCTGACAACGAGTCGTGCAGCGCGGAGGGAGAAAGCGCTTCCTCTGACGCAGTCAAGACGCCGCAGTCCATCATGAAGGTCCCTGTGAGTCAACCTGACCTCAAGCCCCAGGTAGCGTTCATGACTCAGCTCCCTTCGGTGTCTCAAGACGCACAGATGGCCCAGCTGGCCGTTCTGGCTAAGATGCCGTCAGGCCAACAGATCACGCCGAGCACCAAAACTGGAAGGAAGCGGCGCCTGATGCAAGAGGCACTTTCACTGCCTTCTTCTCCAAGTACAACATCCCCAACAAAATGGCTAGTCAAAGACAATGGCACCTCATTTCCCAACAGGCCGCGGGATGAGGATGAACTGTTTCTGCTGAGCTTTGTCCCCGCTCTGAAGCGACTCGCTCCACAGAAAAGGTGTGAGACAAAAATAAAGATCCAGCAGATTATGTATGAAGCAGAGTTCAACATCGCACAGTCAGAATCTCAAGAGAAACAGCCGGAGCCAGAAACGCAGGACTAGACCAAACTGACTGTTTTTGTACTTTTACTTTTGTTTTCTAAAAATCCACAAAATGACCAAAATATATTTTTACAGCACAGAATGGTTGAGTTTGAAGTAAACCCCTTTTTCATGTGAAATTAACTGAAGAATAACTGAAGTTGCTCTACATGTTCAACTCAGTATTGAACAGGTTGTTGAATATTTCCACACCACTCCGGTTTGGTGTGTCTGGAGTTGCATATTTATTGGATGAGAAAGGATTATGAATTTACACCTTAATAAGACGACAAACAGACTATGATTAACATCTTTATTTACATGGTTTTTACTGTCAATAGAGTGAATTCACATTTAGAAAAGTTGTTTTATTTTTCAATCTTCATTAACTCTGTAATAATCTACAGTATTTTACATTTAATTACAGAAACCAGAGCAAAAGAAACTTTCCAGTTTGGAGAGGAACACTGTTTCATAACTGCTTACATGCATCAACACATTGCTTTTTTAATCTCATCTAAAATAAAGAGACAATGTCTGACATTGTTTTGATTCCAAAAAATCTTGGTATGATTTTGGTACATTTCGCAGATGAGATGTGTAACTTGTAAGATCACCTACAGCTAGATAACAAAAAAACATTCTTAGTAAATCAAGTGAACGGAAAGACAACATGGAAGAGGCACATGCTAGTGTTCAGCGTGTAACTCATTAAGATTCCCAACAATTCCAAAAATAAGAATAAAATGCAGGCCTATATGAATACCTTTTACATGGAAGACATTGTGACATGTCAACTTAAAAGCACAGGTGTCAATAATAAATAATAATGGCTGTCATACTGTTATGACCTCCTGGGACAGGGGAATAAATCAGAGTCATCCTTAATGTTATCACTAACATCTGTGCTTTTCCTGCTATGACCAGAAAATAAGAGCACAAGGACCAAATGGCCTAAATTAATACCTCAGGGGCCCTGGTAGCTCACCTGTTAGAGCTCTGCCCCTCGTTCAGTGGCTGCAACCTTACTGCAGCAGCCTGGGTTTGATTTCAGCATGTGGCCCTTTTGCTGCGTGTCACCCCCCCCCCNNCTACGGCCCGTTGCTGCACGGCATCCACCCACTCTCTCCCCACTTTGCTGTCTCTCTTCAGCTGCTCCTGTCTAATAAAAGGCTATCAAAACCCAAAAATAACCTTAAGAAAAGTCACCTAGGTAGGGTAACAGGGAACCAAATGTAGGCTGAAACATATGGGTTGGATTGGAAGTGTGAATGAAAATCCAAATTAATGAGCACTGGTGGTCTTATTTTGTTAGGCAGAATATTTCTTTAAATACAATAATAGAAGCAAAACAATCCCAAAAAGCCCTGATTCAGTCAAAAATGCAAAAAGTGAAAGAGCACCGAGAGTGATCACTTGCTCTCACCTGAATAACCTCTTTTGTGTCTAAAAAAAAAGGACCAGCAACAGAGAGAGAAAGATGCATGTAGATATACAAGGGGGGGAGGTCGTATAAGCAGCACAATGTTTGAAGCCGTTGGCTGATGTTTGGGTGCAGAAAATATAAAGATGATTTAGCATTTAGCAGCTGTGTTATTGAGTTAAAACATTAAGTAACCAAGGTTACGTGGTACACCTTGAAAGTTTTTAGCTAGGTATCTTCTATTTTGGAAAAAAAACTGCTTTATTCAAATCTCACATGTTTGTATAAAGGAGAAAAAAAATAATCAAGGAGCTAGAAAATGTAAGAAGGCAGAATCACATTGGTGCAAACCGTGATGATGTCTGTCAAACCATTTGGGTTACCCCAAGATGATGTCTTTCCACGCGTTTATGCAATCAGCAGCCAAAACATAATCACCAGAGCGACAAACAGGAAGAGTCGAGACAGAAACTGTTCGTCTGTGTGCTGTGGTGTCCCAGGGGCCGCTGTTTGGGGAGACAGTTCAGACACAGGTTATTTAATATGTTGCTGATAAAATACACAGAGTGGTCGTGGTGACGTGTGTAAAACATAAATACCTGGAGGTGGTCTTCCATCATTGATGTTAAAAGCTGTTGCAAAAATACCAAATGGAAAGGCACCGATTCCAAATGACATCTGAAAACCTCCATCTCCAAAGCCAAACCCTTGAAAGCCCTGTGAAACATGCATTTCATCACTAACATGAAGACGTGTGGATTCTCTTAAGGTCTATCTGAGGTACAGTTTAACACAGTGAGATGTGACGCAATAGCCAGTGCAATTTGTGATCATCCACAGGGGATGTCCCTGCACCGCAGTGCTTAACATCTAATAGATCCCAGTGGGAAATGTCCTTTTGTTAATGAATAAAGCACAGGTTTACACTACACCTACCTAATCCTATGTAATGGTTTCATCATGAATGGATTATAACAGCTGAAATTGCACTGAAAAGCTACATGAAGCTACTTAACAGTAAGAAAATATGGATCTAGCACAAAATTATGAAATCGTATACTTTGTTATTACCATGACTATATACTTGTGCAGAGTACTTACACCACGGTTTTCTGGCTCCGGCCTTTGCCCTTGTGGTCGTGGGGGTGTTTTTTCTCTATAAAAGAAAGGAAATATAAACATAGTCACCGTCGGAGAGTCCTCGGGGCGTATTGTGATAATACCTGAAGCCTAATAGATTAAAAGTACTCACCTGGGGTCTTGTTGACCTGTGCTTCCCCGCCCATATAAGGGGATAACTTTGTCTCGGCTAATGCCGGCTTTACACACTGGACACACTTGTCTGTTGGGTCTGGTCTCCAACCACTGCATAAAGATAAAGAGCCATTAAAGACCGGACTTATAAGTTATATATATATATCAGTTATATAACACCAATAATAATGCACTGTCAAAACAGAGATAGGTTCAGCTTACCTGATGCAAACAAGGCCAACTGATCGGGACGGGATGCAAAGGAGACGAGGGTAGAGGTGTTGGACAGGGAACAGGTTTGATTAGTAACACAAATGTGTCCTATAACTGTACAAAACTGCATATGTATATAAACAAATGAAAACAACGAATCACGTCACTGTTCACAAAGTTGACAGTGAGCTCAGCTACTGAAGAGAGTCGAAAACAGAGGACACATGGCTTCTTCCTTTGGGATTGATCTTCTCTTTGAGAATGAATAACTAAACTGGCGCTGTCACTACTGATATCAGACCGAATGCTAAAGACCGGACCTCTCCTGAGTGGACAGAAGTTCACTAGTTATGTGTGAGGGGGTGAGCCTGGCTACAGACACTGGGACATACTGACAGCTCCAGTCTTGTATTTACACACTATTAAAGCATACTTTTATATTTCAGCCTCACTTTGTAAACATTAAACCAGCAGTATTATTGAATGGTGCTTCTATAGAAAGTGACATAACATGTTTGTACTCCTACAGAAGCATTTATGTGTGTTTTTAATTACTGAATATGTCAACTAATATTTCTTATTTGATGTATTTCTGTAAAGTCTCAGTCTTAATGCACAGTTGCAAGTGCCTGGTGATCTTTAAATATGGACGAATATTGTTTACTGCTAGTGTAAAGATAACACGCACAGTCAACAAATGGCCAGATATCAACAAAACTACTGATGTCTGTTGTTGTTGTTGTTGTTGGGTCCAAATGTTGGCTTTCAAAGCTGATTTCTGGCCAGTAGGGTGTATGTCAACAAACCAGTGTATACCCAGTTCTCTTGTACAATAATATGAAAAGTAAGATTAGCTAGACTGATCTGGATCTGGATCTGGATCTGGACTGCCCTGTGGCCTAAATACCCTGACTGGTGGGTTTTCTACAAAACTGTAAACATAAAACACAGACAGCGGTTCTTACCAGAAGAGGTGTCCACACAGGCTGATCACTGCATCCTTGGCGGTGTCCAGACATATATTACACTCGAAAGTGCTGTCCTGGTTGCCCCCGTCGGCCGCAGGAGAGCTGCTGGATCCGGGACTTGCACTGTCAGTGGCCGCAGTGGAGCCAGAGGCCGGAGGGGGGGCAGCGGTGGCCATTCAGCTTAAAGATAGATCCACTAAGGAAGAAAGGTACAGGTAGGGTGACTCCGCTGGCACCCAGCCGCTTCACAGTAAGTACATAAGGGAAGCCCAGTGGATGGAGTCAGTAGGTAATAGTTAGAAGAGAAGACGAGAGGCTGAGTTTGACACAAATAACGAGTGAAATCGACTAAAATCGGCTGCTAGCGAACGTTAGCTTCCATCTAGGTAAGGTGTCGTTGCGGAGCGGCTAACGTTAGCGACCCGATAAAAGACACCAAATACAAAACAACTAGCAACAAACACCACGGCGTGAGCTCACACTGTCGTTCAAGGGTGTGATTTTCTGAACCGAGATGTAAAACTTGTGGAGAAGTTGAGGAAAATGTCCTTACAGTTCGTTGCATCACACATCCGCAACAGTCTAGTAACCGGTAGTAGATCCTGCGGGGCGGCGGGGGGCGTGGCTACGAGCGTCACCGGGGGCGTGGTTACGAGCGTCAGTGGGGGGCGTGGCTACGAGCGTCAGTGGGGTTGTGGTGCCCTCAGTCGGAGCTGTTAGGTGCCCACCACAACCAATCAGGCATCAGCATCTTTTGGCGACCTGGCTACCTGGGGCAGCTCAATAAAGTAAAGTTTTAGGATCATAACATTTTAGGAAAGGCTTACCTAATTTACACATCAAGCAGGCACAGGACAACATTTTCATTCATTCTGTGGCCTACGCTTACATTTACTTTGTATACAGTGTGTAGGGACTTGGCTTGGGGACTGGAGGGTTGCTGGTTTAAATCCCACAGACTGCAATATGGAGTGTGGACTGGTAGCTGGAGAGATGCCACTTTCACCTCCTATGCACTGCCTAGGTGCCCTTGAGCAAGGCAACCTAACCTAACCCCAGGAAACTGCTCATGGGTGCCGCTAACGTGGCGAGCCCATCAC